GTGGGGGTTTTTGCACTCAGAGTTGGAGTTTAGTAAACAGGAAGAGGCGACTGCAGTCATGTTTTTTGGGATGATGCTGAATGAAGGGGCCGTGTGAGCTGAGAATCCGATGACATCCAGGTGTGAATGCGTCCCTCAGTAACCAGAGATTGCTGCCAGGAATGCTGATGATGAATTGCTGCCAGGAATGCTGATGAGATTGCTGCCAGGAAGGCTGATGACAGCAGAGGAACTAAGCAACATATACGGCAAGACCGCGTGATGATTGTTGGAGAGACAGTTGTTCTGTTCAGAGTCACCAGTGGATGATGAAAAGCAGACCCGAGTCGGTAAGATCTTGCATGCACCTCATTTCAGTGTTGGCGCCTATAGACTGAGTCCAGGCCTATAGTTAGTTAGGGTCTCTGTTTGTGTTAGGCCACAAGTGTTGTTACTGATTATTGGAAGGACTCCACAACTTAAAGTGACATTTCACATTGGAGAGCTGATAAAATCCTACAAACTCAAGCCAGACTGGCATTTTTCTGAGAAGGAATACTCAGGCACGTGCTACAGGACCAGTTATGGGAGGGGGATCACTGTAAATTTGTGTAAGATTGTAAGCTGTTGTGCTGCATCGCAGGCTAGACTATACCATACACCCATACACGATTCCTGCTCTTTTAGGGTAATAACAGGTAAGGTGTGGCAGCTTATTTGTGCCTGCCAGTAGGTAAATTACTTCACTTTCTACCTTCATCCATCATAAGGCGCTGTGCTGTGCAGCACAAGGGTCTCAGCCTTTTGGGCTGGGTGTATGTAAATTTATTGTATGTTCCAGCATTTGTGGTTGTGTTTATTTGCCACATCTAAGTAAAATTCTGTTGTGGTAAAAGCTGGTGTTGGGGTTGCTTTCCTCGTTCGTGACTTCACTGTATCCTGGGGAGCCCACCCCGGTACACGACTTACAGCCCAACACTTTTGGTTCTATGCACAGCTTCAACCCCTCACATTGAGCTACATACATTTTATGATTACATAAAGAGAAGGGAGAAGAGCATCTCGTAGTGCAGTAATTGCTTATTAATAAAGTGTTACTAAACCCATATCAGTAAAATCTGTCTACATATGCAGTAACCCTAGGTTCACAGCAAAGTGTTTTCCGCTGCATTTGGCAGAAACGCACTACAGTCCATTCAACATGATTTCCTATGGGACACATTCACATCTCTGCCCTTTCACCTGGTGCATTTTTTGGAAAGGATCAGGGACTTTTTTAAATGAAAAAGGTTGCGATTTTGGTTCTCTAGACATCAATGGAAACGCTACACAAAAGCATGCAGTGCGTTTTTGCTGTATTTTTGACACGCTTTTTGATGCGTTTTGCAGTTAACTTTAAAGTTAAAAAAAAACACAAAACGCGTCAAAAATGCATGTGCAAAAACGCACCGCAAAACTCACTGCAGAAACAGATCAAACGCAAACTGCATAGGTGTGAACCTAGCCTAAAGCACGCTTGTTATACTCGCTGTGAAACCTAAGCGGTTTATCCTCTGCATCGTGTAAAAAGGCTGTTTAATCATGTCTTCTCTGATCCTCCCCTTCTTCTACCATCCCCAAACCATCTGATAGTACAGGGATCTAGGAGTCACTCTGCACATGCTCAATTTAGAGTGTATTGCTAGAGAGTTTTTTTTTTTTTTTTTTTTGTTGGGAGGGTGCATATGATCAGCACAGGGCCAATCACCACTGTCCAAACAGAGGGTCAGGGGTTATGCAGCCTCATAGGACAGTCAGAGCAGAATGAAATCAACTCCTACAAGCTTTAAGCAGTGCTCTGCTAGATACTAATAGAAGTCACAAGACTGCTATATATACTGCTGATGAGAAAAGGTATTTAGCAGTTTATATTTACTAAAATAATTGTATTTCCATGTTCTGTGTACTGCAGGAGACCGGATATAGTGAATGCAGAGTCCTGGGTTTAGTAACACTTTAAAAGCCAAAGCACTTACATATGGTAAATGACAGAGAACTCATGTAAACCAGGAAACGCTGTTGCTTACAGCCAGTGTCCTCTCCAGTGAGTGTAGTGGACACCGGATGTCCCACCCAACGCGTTTTGTCATCAGTATGCATCATATGCATACTTAAACTGTGTGTAGTATTTTTTAAAATGATACTAATAAAAATGTTTTTTTTTTTTTTCAACCATGGCTGTAATCTTTGGGTACCTGAAAATCCCAGTATCCTTGTTTTGTTTGAAAAAAGAAGAGGTTCTGGCGCACATAGAACGCTTATCCAAATATATCATATAAATATAAACAAGTTAATAATTAGCCAATTGGCTATAACAGCACTAAAAGGAAGGACTAAAAATCTAAGAGTCCTTGATGTACTTGTGGTTCAAAAAGTGGCAGCCATCCTTGAGAGTGTAGCTGACTCTCTAAGTATTAATATCAGAGAGAGAGAAAGAGGCGCCAGCTAAGTACAGCAGTTAAGAATTAATTTATTCCATAGGATTAGAAACGCTCACAAAAAAACAAGAGTATACAAAGCTCATCTGTGGGTTTATGTAGGGCTGATCCTTTCCGTTCTGCAGTCACTGCCAGTGGTGGACTCCGAGCACCATGGAGATGGTGTAGGTGAATCCAATGGTGTGTAGACCAGGAAGAAGTCATGCTGACCAGCTTAGAGCGCACTGGCAGAAGTGACGTCACTGGAAGTCAACCACAGAGAGATACAGGCTACACGCTCTGAGCCTCTAGCGCCTTCTACAGTCCTGTGTAGCCTGTATCTCTCTGTGGTAGCCTTCCAGTCCTCCAATTCTTCCAGTGATGTAACTTCCACCAGTGCTTTCCACGCTGGCCAGCATGGCTTCTTCCTGGTCTACACACCATTGGACTCACCTGCACCATCTCCATGGCGCTCTGAGAGCTTGGTATTCTCCTGTTTTTTGTGAGTGTTTTTAATCCTATGGAATAAATTAATTCTTAACTGCTGCACTTAGCTGGCGCCTCTTTCGCTCTCTCTCCTTACTTTTTTGTTTAGTTGCTAAGATTGTAGAATCATTTGGGATGTAATACCCTCATATACCTAGCCTAATTCCTTAGACCAGACTCTCAACCTTTTCAACACAGAGGAACCATAGCAATAATTTTCCAATCTCTGGGAACTCCTGCTAATTATTACTATATCTACATCTCATGATACATTAGTGTGATGGTAAGTGGGAAGAGTGCTTCTCATATTTGTGGTAATTGGGAACAGTCTCCCACTTAGAGATAGCTGAAAAGATCATTGATGTCAGTGGGAACTTATCTTAGAGACAGAAAATGTCCATTGCTCAAGTAACCCCTAGCAACCTCTGGAGGAACCCTAGTTGAGAAACACTGTATAGACTGTGATTTTTTTTTTTTATTGGATAAAAATGACGATATGACAAAATACCTTGTCTGGATGAAAAATAACAACTGGCTTCACATCGGTGCAGAGCAGCTTGTATGCTGCTAGGATCACCACACACACTTCTAGTCTCCTCGCCTTTATGCCCTACTTTGATCTCCATTCATCCCTTCCTGGCATCACAAATGGAACACTTCTGTATTGGCTGATGAGGTAGTCTTGCTTCACTGAATGCTGGTAGGGAGGTACAGAGCTCAGAGTTATTGGAAATGTAACCTAGATGTTTAATCCTAGGTTTAGGGGATACTGAGTACATACCTGCCAACTGCAAAACTCTGAAGGTTTGGAGTGAGATACTTTGGGGTGTCTGCTGTGAAGGGCTGCAGTTAATTAATGTAAGATTTTGAACAGGGTTACCAAAAATTTGGAACTGTATATGGGAGCATATAGTATGACTGGAGATATTGGATCCCACCTACATTATTCTGAGGTTTTAATAGGCAAAATAATGTTAAAAGAAGAGTGGGTGGAACCACATGTCCTCAAGGTGATTGTTATCAAATGTATTCTACCAGTTTACCAAGTGGTACACAAGTGTGCACCAGTCCATAAGGTGAAAAGACCCAAGAAGATTTTAATAATTCACAATTCAACCATAAAAAACAGTCAAATTTTATATGTTTGAATCTTCTTGGACTCCTTCACCTAATGGTCTGGCACCCTATTCTGTATGTTTTTGTTCAGAGGCATTCTCTCGCAGTTCTCAAAGCAGTTTGCTTTGGGAACTGCCTCACTAAAACAGTGAATCTATCCAAAAACTTTCTGCATTTGAATAAACATAGGAATCCCAGTGTTTTTCAAATGTCTCTTCCTTGAGTTTACCAAATGTTGACAAGTTTACAGTGTGTTCATCAATCCAAAAGTAACCTGATAGGATAGAAAGGTGAAGGCAGTCATTACAAATTTATTTTTGAAAGTGCATGCTTCAGGCCTGTCTTCTTTATGCTTCCTTTATTAATGAGTCACTAACACAAAACAAGCATATGCATATGGAGACATATAAATGCTGTGTAGCTGTCACCTCTAAGAATCAATTACACTCCAAATTTGTTTCTTTCATTTAAACAAAGATTAAAGTCCTGTGACATTGGGCTTTGAGTTTACATCAATGGGAACGCTTGCATTTGACATGAATTTGAGGTCATTCAGAATTCATTGACAGGTGCATCTGACCTTCAGTTGATCTCCAGCTTACCTGCATTTGTCCTACTTGAAGCTGCTTTACATTTGCATGTATACTAAGAAAAACAATTCAGCTGTGACCAAAGCACACCAGACTGGCTACTAGAGACAAGAGCACCTGTATTGCCATATGCAGTTTCCAAAAATCACCTCCTCTAGGAAAGCGTTGCCAATTCTTGAAAAAATGCTAGACTCAATGTGGAACAATAGAGGCATAGAAAAGAGTCTAATACTCCTCTCAATGCGTAATTTACCCTATGTCACTCAATCATTTACCACATACAAAGATGCTCGTAGTCTTTCATATAATTATCATATAAGATTTATATTAATTTCTTAAACAGGAATACAAATATTGCCATAAAAAACAATCTTATTTTTTCTTCTTTTTTGCCTGCTGCAGCAGTCTTTTTTGTGCTTGCAGTAGATGGCGGGATGGGAGGCTCATCTTTAGGTGTGATTAGATCTTGTCCACTTTTGTTTTCATCCGTCTGGTCTTTGGATATCTGCATATCTTCCATTGAAGTGCTAGCTCTTTCTATCTCCATTTGCTCAATCTTTTTGGCTTCCTCTTCTGCCTTCAGTGCTTTAAGTCTAAATAAAGAACACATTCAGCAAAATGATATTTCTTAGCTTTTGTACTATTTAGCAAAATTCAGGGAATCCAATACATTCCTTTTAGATTTATGATGTTACCTAGCTTCTTCTTCTTCCCGGATCTGCTGCAGTCGTGCCTGTTCTGCTTGTCTCATTTTGTTTTTTGGAATTTCAGCCTTGAGTAGTTCTACATGTTCATAGGCTGGGAAGAATACTTTAGGGAAAAATATGTTGATCTGGTGGAACCACTTATCAGTTACCCCTCTCATCTGCAGTTTTTCTGCAAAAATAATGAATGTTAGCAGAGCAGTTAATTTCTGATATGTCAGTTAATTAAATGTCATTCATCAATCATTTTACCACATACAATGATGCTTGAAGTCTTTCATATAACTAACATATAAGCACAATATGATGATACTTGAACAAAAATTAGCTGCATGGTCTAGTTGCCAAAAAGAAGCCTTTACTGCCCAATGCCACAAAAAGACTGGTTACAATATGCCCAACACCATGACACACCTCACTGGGCTTTTTTGTGCTATTGGTGCAGTAAATGCTTTTTTTTTTTGGCAACTCGGCCATGCAGCTCATTTTTGTATCAATGCATTGTGCTCCTTCAAAACAACCACACCGTCTTTTTCCAGAGCAGCCAGTATTTCTCTTGGCGTTACCTGTGAGTTTTTCTTTGTATCCCAAACAATTCTTCTGGCAGTTATGATTGCAATCTTTCTTGTTCTACCTGATCTTGGCTTCTGTATCAAGAGATCCCTGAATTTTCTATTTCGTAAGTGATTTAACAGTACTGACTGGCAGGCTTTAGATATATTTTTATAATCTTTTCCATCTTTATAACGTTCCATTACTTTGTTGCACAGGGCTTTTGACAGTTCTGTTCTGCTTCCCATAGCTCAGTATCTAGCCTACTCCATGCATCCATGTGACAGCTGACAAACTCATTGACTATTTATACCCAGACACTAATTGCAAGTTAAAGAGCCACAGATGTGGGGAATTTAACCCTTAATTGCCATTTTAACCTGTGCGTGTCACACTGTGTGTCTGTACCAAGGCCAAACATTCCAGGGTATGTAAACTTTTGATCCGGGCCATTTGGGCGATTTCTGTTATTATTATGATTGAAAAAGCAGCCAAACAACTATGTGATAATAAATGGGTTCATATGGTCACTATCCTTAAAAAAAAAAAAAACGTTTTTTTGACATGATCAGTCATATTTTAAATATCAATGCCAATATTTCATAATTTGTGCCAGGGTATGCAAACCTTTGAGAACACCTTTATATTGATCAATTGAAGTTAAAAGCCTGTTCATGATAGATATAAAAAATAGGGAATACTTCTGAAATTGATAGCTGGATGTCATTCTTCTTACCATACCATATTTGTTACAAAGGTCAAGTCAAGTTTTAAAAGAAACTGTGTAACAGAGTAATATAAATTCAGGGGTCCTAGATTTTCATGACCTGTGGCACTAAGTGCAGCACCTTTCACAAGGATTGTTCTAAATACAAAAAAGGAGGTGTGTGTATTACTGTGCGCCTGGCGGGCTAAATGGAAAAATGCACTTTAGCATGTATTGTATGCGTTCATTTTTTGCTATCTGTAAATTAGTCTGAAGCAACCCTTTCCTCTTCCAATGTTTAATAAAATATAAACTATTCATTGATAGCAGGGGCAGACTGACCATTTGGAAACTCGGGCACTGCCCGAGGGCCCGGGGTCAGTAGGGGGCCCCATGAGATGCCCCTGGTACCTTTTTCATAGGCTTTTTTGAGTTTGGGCAAGGACACAGGGGCCCCATGATCCCCTATTGCCCGGGGGCCCCATGAGTTGTCAGTCCGCGCCTGATTGATAGACAACTTTTCGTGTATAGACAACTCACTTTTACATGGTAAGAGAATAAAAACTGACATCTGTCCCCTCCAGAGACTGGCACCCTCATCTTGTCCTTAACAAGGCATAGAAGCAAAATGGTGAAGCCAGTTGTGATACACAAGATACACTTTAAAAAGGATCTGAACTCTGGAAGTTGTGCAAAAAAAAAAACAAAAAAAGGCAAAGCATGAGTCACCAGTATTGTCTGTGGCAGGGGCGGACTGACAACTCATGGGGCTCCCGGGCAATAGGGGATCATGGGGCCCCTGTGTCCTTGCCCAAGCTCAAAAAAGCCTATGAAAAAAGTACCAGGGGCATCTCATGGGGCCCCCTACTGACCCCGGGGGGTGGTGGGGGGCCCTCGGGCAGTGCCCGAGTTTCCAAATGGTCAGTCCGCCCCTGGTCTGTGGTGTCCCTGCAGCTGATCTTTCACCATTACTGACTTGATATGCCTTGCTCTGCATTGTGTTTGTGTGTGGAGGTGGCCATCTTGGTAGAGGCAGGCATTTTGCTTCCCCATGTCAAGGTCTCCAGCAAGTGAGCAGTACAGTGGTTACATCACCAAATCTAACTACAAATATCCTGAGACAGGCATCCAGAGGCAAGTGTACAATCCAAACGCACATGTTCCTGTATTAAAAATGGCTGTGTATATCACATGCCTGATGATGGGGGTCCTGCGAGACTCCAAAACGTTGCCTTGCTGTAACTATGTGATCGTTTATTAAAACTTTTGGACCCATATTGGTGATCCTCGGTGTGCCGGTGACATTCTCCCAGGCATCCAGAGGCAGCACTGACTTGGATCTCCCTCTGCGCTGTAGGCACAGGAGTGCCGCACATATCAGGAAGTACGCTTATATTTTTCAGGAAGAATAACATGCAAACAGTACATTTTTCAGGGTACAATAAAAATGTATAAATGTTCCCTAAAATACAGTATAGTAAATCTTCACTATTTGTATTCAGTTTCACTTTAAAGGTGCCTTTGTCCTTGAAGTGGCAGTCATATGCCACGACTCTATATATGTCAGTGAGGCAGGTGAAGAGCTTAGAGATGGAGATCAGGAAAAAAAAAGTGAAAATATGTATATTAGCAAAAGTTCTGTGTAGCCTACATAGGTTGCGTGTTTCTGGGGAAAGAAGCAATGTGTTTGAAACAGCTGATCTTGAATAGACTAGTAAGTTTTCATGCTTGGGGAATGGAAATATTACTTTTCAAGTGGGTTAAATTGCTTGCATTTCAAGTAATCTATCATCTGCTGCATGAAAAATGTTATTTTATTCCTTGGCATAACTACTATTTCTGCTATACATCCAAATGTGGAATTATAGTGCCATCTTGTGTTTACAATGATATTGCAAGCACAGTTCAGATCTTTGTAGCAAATCTGTATTAACCACTTCAAGTCCGGACACTTTCACCCCCTTCCTGTCTAGGCCAATTTTCAGCTTTCAGTGCTATCACACTCTGAAAGACAAATGCAACACTGTACCCATATTCATTTTTTAGCATTTATTTTGGTGGTTTTTATTCACTACTGGGATTTAAATTTTTTTTGCTATATAAATGAAAAAGTCCAAGAATTTAGAAAAAAAAATGTTTTTCTTTTAAATTTTGGAAATAAATAATCTTTCTTCATAACTTTTGGCCAAAATTTAGTCGGTTATCTTTTTAGTAAAAACAAAAATAACCCAAATTAGTTTATAACCAAAAATTATAATTTCTCAATTATTTTTTTTTTTAATTTTTTATATTTGTTTTTTTTTTTAGCATACCTCATACAGAGGTCCCGTACAGCTCCCAGGGAGCGCACACAGCCTGTAAATGCAGGCGTCATTTATGAATGGCAACCCGCTCCTGCACTGCTCCCGTCAGGCTGTTTATATATTCGGATAAGCCTTCTCTGTGCACCAGAACCTCTTCTTTTTTCAAACAAAAAAAAACAAGGATACTGGGATTTTCAGGTACCCAAAGATTACAGCCATGGTTGAAAAAAAAACCCAAACATTTGTATTAGTAGCATATGATGCATATTGATGACAATATGTGTTGGGAGGGACTTCCGGTGATGTCACATACACTCATTGGAGAGGACACTGGCTGTAAGCAATGGAATTTCCTGGTTTACATGAGTTCTCTGTCATTTACCATATGTACAGTCAGGTCCATAAATATTGGGACATCGACACAATTCTAACAATTTTGGCTCTATACACCACCACAATGGATTTGAAATGAAACGAACAAGATGTGCTTTTACTGCAGACTGTCAGCTTTAATTTGAGGGTATTTACATCCAAATCAGGTGAACGGTGTAGGAATTACAACACTTTGCATATGTGCCTCCCACTTGTTAAGGGACCAAAAGTAATGGGACAATTGGCTTCTCAGCTGTTCCATGGCCAGGTGTGTGTTATTCGCTCATTATCCCAATTATAATGAGCAGATAAAAGGTCCAGAGTTCATTTCAAGTGTGCTATTTGCATTTGGAATCTGTTGCTGTCAACTCTCAAGATGAGATCCAAAGAGCTGTCACTATCAGTGAAGCCATCATTAGGCTGAAAAAACAAAACAAACCCATCAGAGAGATAGCAAAAACATTAGGCATGGCCAAAACAACTGTTTGGAACATTCTTAAAAAGAAGGAACGCACCGGTGAGCTCAGCAACACCAAAAGACCCGGAAGACCATGGAAAACAACTGTGGTGGATGACCAAAGAATTCTTTCCCTGGTGAAGAAAACACCCTTCACAACAGTTGGCCAGATCAAGAACACTCTCCAGGAGGTAGGTGTATGTGTGTCAAAGTCAACAATCAAGAGAAGACTTCACCAGAGTGAATACAGAGGGTTCACCACAAGATGTAAACCATTGGTGAGCCTCAAAAACAGGAAGGCTAGATTATAGTTTGCCAAACGACATCTAAAAAAGCCTTCACAGTTCTGGAACAACATCCTATGGACAGAAGAGACCAAGATCAACTTGTACCAGAGTGATGGGAAGAGAAGAGTATGGAGAAGGAAAGGAACTGCTCATGATCCTATGCATACCACCGCATCAGTGAAGCATGGTGGTGGTAGTGTCATGGCGTGGGCATGTATGGCTGCCAATGGAACTGGTTCTCTTGTATTTATTGATGATGTGACTGCTGACAAAAGCAGCAGGACGAATTCTGAAGTGTTTCGGGCAATATTATCTGCTCATATTCAGCCAAATGCTTCAGAACTCATTGGACACCGCTTCACAGTGCAGATGGACAATGACCCAAAGCATACTGCAAAAGCAACCAAAGAGTTTTTTAAGGAAAAGAAGTGGAATGTTATGCAATGGCCAAGTCAATCACCTGACCTGAATCCGATTGGACATGCATTTCACTTGCTGAAGACAAAACTGAAGGGAAAATGCCCCAAGAACAAGCAGGAAGTGAAGACAGTTGCAGTAGAGGCCTGGCAGAGCATCACCAGGGATGAAACCCAGCGTCTGGTGATGTCTATGCGTTCCAGACTTCAGGCTGTAATTGACTGCAAAGGATTTGCAACCAAGTATTAAAAAGTGAAAGTTTGATTTATGATTATTATTCTGTCCCAGTACTTTTGGTCCCTTAACAAGTGGGAGGCACATATGCAAACTGTTGTAATTCCTACACCGTTCACCTGATTTGGATGTAAATACCCTCAAATTAAAGCTGACAGTCTGCAGTTAAAGCACATCTTGTTCATTTCATTTCAAATCCATTGTGGTGGTGTATACAGCCAAAAATGTTAGAATAGTGTCGATGTCCCAATATTTATGGACCTGACTGTAAGTATTTTGGCTTTTAAAGTGTTACTAAACCCAGGACTCTGCATTCACTATATCTGGTCTCCCACAGTACACAGAACATGGAAATGCAATTATTTTAGTAAATATAAACTGCTAAATACCCTTTCTCATCAGCAGTTAGAGCAGTCTTGTGACTTCAGCAGAGCACTGGTTACAGCTTGTAGGAGGAGTTTTCTTTCTGCTCTAGGAGGATGTGAAAACCCCAACCCTCTGTCTGGACAGTGCTGATTGGCCCTGTGCTGATCACATGCACCCTCCCAAGAAAAAAAAAAAAACCTTTCTAGCAATACGCACCAAACCGAGCGTGTGCATGTGACTACGGATTCAGTCTGTATAAGGTAGTCATTTCAACAAGAGGAGGGGCAGAGAAGTCAGGATCAAACAGCCTTTTTACACAATGCAGAGGATTAACCTCTTAGGTTCCACAGTGAGTATAACAAGCATGCTTTACTGCATATACAGACTGATTTTACTGTTGTGGGTTTAGTAACACTTTAAGCATAAAGTAATCAAAATATGCTGTACAGTAGGTACCATAAAGTTCTGCCACTTGAGCTCTCAAATCAATACAAATACCAATTTTCTTAGGTTCCATTCACACTTCTCATAGCAGGAACACATGTTTCTTGCGTTTATTTTTTTTTTTGCGTGCTTTTTGTGTGTTTCCACACGTCATGCATAGGGCAGCTCATTCACTTTATTGGGCTGCCTTATGTGCAACAAATGCAGCAAAGAAGCTCCAGAACCTTTATGAAGTAGAGCAAGGCATATTTTTTTAGTGAGCATTTTTAGCGAGTTTGCTGCATAACAAATGTGTGCCAAAACGTGTGTCTGCTAACTGCATTTGGAATGCCATTAACAATAGCATCACAAGTACAATGCAAATTTGCATCACCGCATGTTTAGGAAATGCAATACGGCCTTAAAGTTAGAAATTGCATGGATCTAGGGATCCCCCCACCCCACCTGACCGTGTTAAGGTCTGCTGACTGGCCACTCCTGCACTAAACATATTATGGGAGCCAAGAGCAGTGCACACAAGCACCCCATACTCAGAAACGCATGTTTTTTTTTCTGGTGCAAAGGCAATGGCGGATCAGGGCAGGGTGCAGGTAGAAGTAGGCACAGTATGCAGGAAAACTTTTAATAGTACTTTTTTACTCAGAAGAGCGTACAAAAGACAAACAATTTGTCACCTGAACTTAAAGTGACTCTAAAGGCTCAAGGTTTTTTTTACCTTCATGCACTGTATGCATGAAGGTAAAAAACCTTCTGTTTGTAGAAGCCCTCCTCCCCCAAACCCTTACTTGGGCGCCATCCCAATCCAGTGATGTCCACAAGAGCCTCGGTTCTCTGGGGACTCTCACTCCTGATTGTCAATCATAGCCAGTGAGCCAATCAGAAGAGGGAAGGGGAAGGGCCAAACTCTGTCTCTGTGAATGAATGGACATGCAGAGCTGCAGCTCGGGAGCGTGCCTGCTGGGTTGTCACATACTAAACTGTTTGCTATGGGGGCACCCAACAGAGGGGAGGGGCTAGGAGTGGTGGCAGGGGACCCGAGAAGAGGAGGATCAGGGCTGCTCTGTGCAAAACCACTGCACAGAGCAGGTAAGTATAGACATGTTTGTTATTTTTAAGAAAAAAACAAGACTTTAGTATCACTTTAACAGCAGAACCTAGATTTCAAATGCATACAGACTCAAGAGCGCTGATACCCAGCAAATACTGACCTGAGCTTGCAAACCTGTATTCTGGTTTGCTTCCCTCCCTCCTCCTGTGATAAAAGTCCCACTAACCAACAATGAGGTGTCAGGCCAGAGCTCAACCCCAGGTGGTTGTATGCGGCATCAACTGGGACTGATTAGAGGAGGGGCAGTAGGGAGAAACACGCCCCGAAAGGCAATGCCTGAGTGCTTGATGGATCATTTTTCCCCTGGTGCATTTTATCTTTGGATGTTTTCCTATTCCATCACGGAGGGGAGAGAGAGAGGGGGGAGAAAGAGGAACAGAGAGTGAGAAGAAGAGTGGAGAGAGAGAGAAAAAACAAAAGAGTGAGAGGGAAAGAGAGAGGGGGGAGAGAGTGAGAGAGAAATGGAGAAGGGGGGGAGAGTGAGAGAGAAAGGGAGAAGGAAGAGAGAGTAAGAGAGAAATGGAGAGGGGGAGAGAGTGAGAGAAAGGGAGAGGGGGGTTAGTGATAGAAAAAGGGAGAGGGGGGGGAGTGAGAGAGAGAGTGAGAGAGAAAGGGGGAGAGAGAGAAAGGGGGAGAGGGGGGAGGGAGCGAGAGAGAAATGGAGAGGGGGGAGGGAGCGAGAGAGAAAGGGAGAAGGGGGAGAGAGTGAGAGAGAAATGGAGAGGGGGGGGAGTGAGAGAGAAAGGGAGGGGGGGGAGTGAGAGAGAAAGGGGGAAGGGGGAGAGAGTGGGAAATGGAGAGGGGGGAGCGAAGGGGAGAAGGGGGAGAGAGCGAGAGAGAGAAATGGGGAGGGGGGATAGTGAGAGAAAAATGGAGAGGAGGGAGAGGGGGGAGTGAGAGAGAAAGGGAGAAGAGAGAGTGAGAGAAAGGGAGAGGGGGGGATAGTGAGAGAGAAAGGGGAGAGGGGGAGAGAGAAGGATGGGGAGAGGGGGGAGAGAAGGAGAGAGAAAGGGGGAGAGAAGGAGAGAGAAAGGGGGAGGGGGAGAGAAGGAGAGAGAAAGGGGGAGGGGGAGAGAAGGAGAGAGAAAGGGGGAGGGGGGAGAGAAAGGAGAGAGAAAGGGGGAGGGGGGAGAGAGAAGGAGAGAGAAAGGGGGAGAGGGGGGAGAGAAGGAGAGAGAAAGGGGGAGGGGGGAGAGAAGAGAGAGAGAAAGGGGGAGGGGGGAGAGAAGGAGAGAGAAAGGGGGAGGGGGGGGAGAAGGAGAAGAGGGGGAGAGAAGGAGAGGAAAGGGAGAGAGGAGGGAGAGAGGATTGAGAAGGGGGGAGAGTGAAAGGGGGAGGGGGGGAGAGTGAAGGGAGAGGGGGGGAGAGTTGAAAGGGAGAGGGGGGAGAGTGAAAGGGAGAGGGGGGAGAGTGAAAGGGAGAGGGGGGAGAGAGTGAAAGGGAGAGGGGGAGAGAAAGGGAGAGGGGGGAGAGTTTTGAAAGAGAAAGGGAGGGATAGTGAGAGAGAAAGGGAGAGGGGGAAGAGAGAAAGGGAGAGGGGGGGAGAGATAGAGAAAGAGAGAACAGGGAGATAAGAGAAGAGAGAGGTGAGCCCTTGCAGTAAATACCTTAGCCCTGAGCACATTTTTCAGATTACCTCCTAAATCTCTTAGATTCTAAGCTCTTAACGAGCAGGGCCCTCTGTTTCCTCTTGTACCAAATTGTATTGTAACTGTAATGTCTCCCGTTATATTGTAAAGCACTGTGCAAACTGTTGGCGCTATATAAATCCTGTATTATAATAATAATAAATCATTAGCTCTGCTCCTCCCCCTCCCCCAGGCAGCTTGGTTCTTTCTCCAGCTCAGCTTTGTTATTCTGTCCCCAATAAAAGGTGACAGGCTTGGGAAGGGGGCTGAAACAGCAGCGCCCATTGGCTCAGTAGGCAGCAGGAGGCAGACCAGCTGTAGCTGGACAGTTAACTCTTCAGTTTTTCACTCCTTGTCCTGCTGACTGCTCGACAGCCGTTCCTACAGTTTGAAGGTGCCAAATCCTTCCTGCAGCAATGCTGCCTCTACAGTTAGTGGCAGGGAATGAGGTGGCTCTGACTCCCTGGGTACAGAGTTTGACGGCACATTGGGCCTCCCTGCCCTTGGGGCCCGTGTGCACTACACACCCTGCGCACATGGATGATACTCCACTGGGGCAGCCCTAATAGTTTTTATATGCAGACCAGCTTCTTTTTGTAGTACTATGCACCAATTGTGCAATAATTTTGTTTTCTCTCAATACATGTCAATTAGTCTTAAATGTTGCTCTACTGCTAATCTAATATCTTAGCAACTGTTCAGCAGGCATGCTGTCTAGCCTGTCTAATATGTTATAAGCCACTAAAGAAAGACTAAAATTGGTCAAAAATGAATTGTGTAGCTTCGCATTTTATTTTTTTGAAAAGAAAAAAACACGTTATGCTTACCTGCTCTGTGCAATGGTTTTGCACAAAGCAGCCTTAATCCTCCTTTTCTCAGGTCCCCCACCAGTGCTGTTCACTGCTCCTCCTTGCTGAGTGACCCCAAAGCAAGCAGCTTGCTATGGGGGCACTACTGCAGATATGCTAGTATTATTTTCATTATCCTGATCCACACAAGCAAATTATTTTCCTTTGATCCCACATTATAAAATTAGGACCTCTCTCTCTCTTTACATTTACAAATGCCAATACTCACTTGTGGACTGGAAAGGAAGAGGTGGGCTCCGTTTCTCATTTGTTTTTAAGGCATTGATCAGATCCTGCTCTAGCATCACATAATCAGTCTTATTCTGTAATTTAGACATAAAGGAGAATTAGGATTGTAATACATTCTTGTGAAGGCATAAACATGTGTGAAAACACATATTACTATAGTCCTTATTTATACTAGTGGTAGAAATACAATAATAAAGTTTGTATTACAGCTCTATAGTTCTTTTACAGCTTTTTTTAATGTCTGCCTAATGCGATCATCTTATCAGAGAATATGAATAGCTTATACACTGCTCAAAAAAATTAAAGGAACACTTTGAAAACACATCAGATCTCAATGGGGAAAAATATCATGCTGGTTATCTATACTGATATGGACTGGGTAATGTGTTAGGGACGTAAGGATGCCCCATCGTTTGATGGAAATTAAAAATTTTCAAGCTACAGAGGACTGAATTCAAAATCACCCTGAAAATCAAAGTAAAACAAAAGATGCAACAGGCTAGTCCATTTTGCTGAAATATCATTGCAGCAACTCAAAATGGTACTCAGTAGTTTGTATGGCCCCCACGTGCTTGTATGCATGCCTTATAACGTCAGGACATACTCCTAATGAGATGACGGATGGTGTCCTGGGGTTTTTCCTCCCAGATCTGGACCAGGGCATCACTGAGCTCCTGGACAGGCTGAGGTGCAACCTGGCGGCATCGGATAGACCGAAACATGATATCCCAGAGGTGTTCTATTGGATTTGGGTCAGGCGAACATGGTTCCATTCAATGGTATCAATTCCTTCATCCTCCAGGAACAGCCTGCATACTCTCGCTACATGAGGCAGGGCATTTTCGTGCACCAGGAGGAACCCAGAACCCACTGCATCAGCAAAGGGTTTGACAATGGATCCAAGGATTTCATCCCAATACCTAATGGCAGTCAGGGTGCCATTGTCTAGCCCGTAAAGGTCTGTGTGTCCCTCCATGGATATGCCTACCCAGACCATCATTGACCCACCAACAAAACAGTAAGGCTGAACAATGTTACAGGTAGCATAACATTCTCCATGGCTTCTCTCCAAATCCTTTCACGTCTGTCACTTGTGCTCGGGATGAACCTGCTCTCATCTGTGAAAATCACAGGGCGCCAGTGGCGGACCTGCCAATTCTAGTGTTCAATGGCAAATGCCAATCGAGCTCTATGGTGCCGGGCAGTGAGCACAGGGCCCACTAGAGGATATCAGGCCCTCAGGCCACCCTCATGAAGTCTGTTTCTGATTGTTTGGTGAGAGACCTTGTAGGGCTCTGGCAGTGCTCATCCTGTTCCTCCTTGCACAAAGGAGCAGATATCGGTCCTGCAGATAGGTTAAGAACCTTCTACGGCCCTGTCCAGCTCTCCTAGAGTAACTGCCTATCTCCTGGAATTTTCTTCAAGCTCTTGAAACTGTGCTGGGAGACACAGCAAACCTTGTGGCAACGGCACATATTGATGTGCCATCCTGGAGGAGTTGGACTGCCTGTGCAACCTCTGTAGGGTCCTGGTATCATGCTAAAAAGTAGTGACACTGACCCTAGCCAAATGCAAAACTAGGGAAAAACAGACAGAAAAGATGAGAAGGGAAAAAAATATCAGTGGCTTCCACCTGTAAAACCAATCCTGTTTTGGGGTCGTCTCATTGTTGCCCATGTAGTGCACCTGTTGTTAATTTCATTGACACCAAAGCAACTGAAACTGATTAACAACTCCCTCTTATATTTAACTGACCAGATCAATTTCCCAGGAGTTTAATTGACTTGATGCTATACTCTGATTAACTAGTTGCCGACCGCAGATAGCCGAATGACGGCTTCACTGCGGCCGGCCAGTTCTGGGTGGACGTCATATGACGTCCCCCCAGAACGCGCTCTCCTGCGCGCCCCAGGGGGGCGCGCACCCGGCGATCTCCGTGATCGCTGTGTCCTACGGACACAGCTGATCACGAGATGTGGTAAAAGGCCAATCATACCGGCCTTTTACCACGTGATCAGCGGTGTCCAATGACACGCTGATCAGAGGGAAATGCAAGTGCCGGTTCTCGACTGCACTTTCCTCACGCTGTCAGATTGTGAGGAAAGTACTGCCGAGAACCGGCAGTTGTCAGAGTGAGGATCGGCACCGATCATCAGGGCACTGATGATCAGTGCCCTGATGATCGGTGCCCAGCAGTGCCACCCACAAGTTCCGCCCACCTGTGCCCAGCAGTGCGCCCACTAGCTCCGCCCACCCTGTGCCCAGCAGTGCACCCACCTGTGCCCAGCAGTGCACCCACCTATGCCCACCAGTGCCACCACCTGTGCCCAGCAGTGCCACCCACCTGTGCCCCACCAGTGCCACCACCTGTGCCCACCAGTGCCACCCACCTGTGCCCACCCACCAGTGCTGCCCACCAGTGCCACCCAGCAGTGCTGCCAGTCAGTGCCACCAGTCAGTGCCCAGCGGTTGCGCCAGTCAGTGATCAATCAGGCACCTGATGATCAGTGGCCCTGCTGGCCAGTCAGTGCCCAGCAGTGATGCCAGTCAGTGCCATCTATCAGTACCCATCATCAGTGTCACCTATCAGTGCCACCTATCAGTGCTGCATATTAGTGCCGCCTATTCGTGACACCTCATTAGTGCTGCCTATCAGTGCCGCCTATCCGTGCCACCTCATTAGTACTGCCTATCAGTGCCCTTTTATTGCTGCCTATCAGTGCCCATCAGTGCCCGCCTATCAGTGCCCATCAGTGCTGCCTCATCAACGCACATCAGTGAAGGAGAAAAATTACCTGTTTGAAAAATTTTATAATAGAAACAAAGAAACTTTTTTTTTTTCAAATTTTTTGCACTTTTTTAATTTATAGCGCAAAAAGTAAAGCGCCCAGTGGTGATTAAAAGAAAGCTCTATTTGTGAGAAAAAAATGATCAAAATTTCATATGGGTACAATGTTGCATGACCGCGCAATTGTCAATCAAAGTGCGGCAGCGCTGAAAGCTGAAATTGGCCTGGTAAGGAAGGGGGTATAAGTGCCTGGTAGGCAAGTGGTTAAAAAGTCTTCCTTTAATTTTTTTTGAGCAGTGCATATTGGTATGGAGCACATTACAGAAACTTTTGGTTGACACTGGAGACATTTTCCAGCCCTAGTGTACCAACATATTTAATTTTCACAACAATTCTTCACAATCTGTCATTTTTGTTATAAACTTTTCCTAAATTTCATAGTACTGATGTATTGTGCTTCTCTATAAAAAGAACCCTAAAGAAGCCAGACCCTTAAAGGAGCTTATACTGTATTGTCCCACTCATATAAAGGGCCAGTTTAACCAAGAGCCAATCTGAGAAACTACAGTATATATTCAGTGAGCACATAATTGAAAATAGTATAACCGTGTTTTAAACTTTTTTTTTCATTTTGAATAGGGTAAGGGAGGGTTATAACCCCTATCAGTTTTTTTTTGCCATCTGTGATCCATTGGCTGGATTTTTCCTTTCACTTGTCCCATAGCTGCAACAGGAAATAAGAGGAAATTCCTCCAAAGTGGAGGAATCCCTGGTTGTCACCAGGGTCACCAGAATTAATGTTCCCATTCAAACCTCCCCGTCTCTATTTCTGTCCTGGTGAAAACCTAAGATGTGGGATTTTCTTTTACATTTGCTCTCAGTAACAATGGTATATGGGACAATTAAAAAGGGAACATGTTTCTAATGAGGGCAATGACAGCAATAAAAATTGGACAGGTTTTTTAATGCCATCAATTTGATCAAAAACTGAAAAAAAAAAAGTTTTGTCTTTAGTTACAGTGCATCCATAAAGTATTTGATGCGCTTAGCTTTTGTCACATTTTGTTATGTTACAGCCTTATTCCAAAATGGATTAAACTTAACATTCTACTAACAATACCCCATAATGACAATGTGAAAGAAGTTTGTTTTGAAATCTTTGCAATTTATTAAAAAAACAAAAAACAAAAAAAAAAAACACATGTGCATCAGTATTCACAGCCTTTGCTCAATACTTTGTTGAAGCACCTTTATCACCAATTACAGCCTCAAGTCGTTTTGAGTATAATAGTACAAGCTTGGCACACCTTTTTTTGGGCAATTTCCCCCATTCTTCTCTGCAGTACCTCTCAAGCTCCATCAGGTTGGATGGGGAGCGTTGGTGCACAGCCATTTTCAGATCTCTCCAGAGATGTCCAATCAGGTTCAAGCCTGGGCTCTGGCTGGGCCACTCCAGGACATTCACAGAGTTGGCCTGTAGCCACTCCTTAGTTATGTGTTTAGGGTCATTGTCCTGTTGAAAGATGAACCGTCGCCCCAGTCTAAGGTTCAGAGCGCTCTGGAACACGTTTTCATCAGGGATGTCTCTGTACATTGCTGCATTCATCTTTCCTTCGATCCTGACTAGTCTCCCAATTCCTGCTGCTGAAAAACATCCCCACAGCATGATGCTGCCACCACCCTGCTTCACTGTAGGGATGGTATTGGCCAGGTGGTGAGCCGTGCCTGGTTTCCTCCAGATATGACACTTGGTATCCAGGCCAAAGAGTTCAATCTTTGTTTCATCAAACCAGAGAGTTTTATTTCTCATGGTCTGAAAGTCCGTCAGGTGCCTTTTGGCAAACTCCAGGCGGGCTGCTATTTGCCTTTTACTGAGGGGTGGCTTCCGTCTGGCCACTCTACCATACAGGCCTGATTGGTGGAGTGCTACAGAGATGGTTGTTCTTCTGGAAGGTTTTCCTCTCTTCACAGAGAAACACTGGAGCTCTTTCAGAATGACCATCAGGTGCATGGTTACCTGCCTGGCTAAGGCCCTTCTCTCTTGATCGCTCATTTTGGCAGCTCTAGGAAGATTCCTGGTGGTTCCAAAACTTCTTTTATTTAAGGATGATGGAGGCCACTGTGCTCATTGGGACCTTCAATGTTGCAAAAATGTTTCTGTACCCTTCCCCAGATCTGTGCCTTGATACAATCCTGTCTCAGAGGTCTACGGACAATTCCTTGGACTTCATGGCTTGGTTTGTGCTCTGACATGCACTGTTAACTGTGGGACCTTATATAGACAGATTTATGCCTTTCCTAATCATGTCCAATCAACTGAATTTCCCATAGTTGAACTCCAGTCAAGTTGTGGAAACATCAAGGAACATCAGTGGGAACAGAATGCACCAGTGCTCAATTTTGAGTGTCATGGCAAAGGTTATGAATACTTATATACGTGTGTTTTTTTCTCCGTTTTTTTATTTTTAATAAATTGCAAAGATTTCAAAACTAACTTCTTTCACATTGTCATTATGGGGGTATTTTTTTGTAGAATAAGGCGGTGACATAACAATATGTGGCAAAAGTTAAGCGCTGTGAATACTTTCTGGATGCACTGTATGCTTGAAAACCTCTTACAGACAGGAGGTCAGATCAGATCCGCCTGTCAGTTTTTCAGTCTGATCTGAACCGAAAATCTATATTAGTTCTATATGCAGGCAGATGTAAATGTACATGTCCATCTAGGTTAAAGAAAAAAAAAACAGAAACATTCTGTGTTCTTTTCTGTTTTTTTTTTTCCAGCATAAATGTGATGGATCTGATATAACTAGTTGCAGATTCTAGCCATCAGCTGCCCATATGAATCAGCCCTTTCTCCCTTGTTACATCATCCACTCTGAGGAATTTGCCCACGACCATAGCACCAAAAAAAGTGGTGAAATTCGGATCTGTGGAGCAGCAGTTTCAAAGGCATTTAATATAATACACAGAGTAGGCAGACTTTTACAGATGTAATTTCTTAAGAGATGTGTATGGAAGAATATCTGTGCAATGTAATTTGGCTTTTACTTGGGTTGTAGTTTTCATGGCAATTTTTACATGTTGCATGACACATACATGTTCAATAATGTGGTTTATACCTCAAAAGCATACATACATTAAAATATTAAAGTTTAACCAAGCAGGTTATAGTGAGGTAGGCCAAAAGGAACCAGAAAGCCCCCCACTGAATCAGTGTGCAAAGCACAGTATTGCCTGCTAAAAATAAGGTAATGACATGTAACTTCCATCACAAATCCCACAAAAGGGTTTTTTTGTTTTTTTTTTTTTTATTGTGGGCAGAGTCATACAAATCATTCCTTTATGTCACTTGTTCATCCAGTACAGCTATCCAAGCGGCAATAAAGTGGTTGTAACCCTCAGATATGAAATACGAACAAATCTTATCCCTCTATAGTGTTTACCAGAGCACTAAGTGCAGGGACGGACTGACCATTTGGAAACTCGGGCACTGCCCGAGAGCCCGGGTCAGTAGGGGGCCCCATGAGATGCTCCTGGTACCTTTTTTTTCATAGGCTTTTTTGAGTTTGGGCAAGGACACAGGGGCCCCATGATCCCCTATTGCCCAGGGCCCCATGAGTTGTCAGTCCGCCCCTGACTAAGTGTAATTTCTCTCTGCTGCCCTGTTCCTCTGCTTTCTGCATGAGTCACTTCTGCAAGTGTTCCTGACACCAAGAGAAGGAGAAGAGCAGATTGACAGCCTCAGCTCTGTTCAAGTGTGCTGTGTAAAGGGGGTATGTCCTTTCTCTCCAATCAGCTCTCAGATCTCTCCTCAGTGATCCCTGCAGTGTGTAATTTCAGCTCTGCCCCCTGCTTTCTGACAGCTCAGACAAGCTTTATAACTTCTGGACTTTGAATGGATGTAGAGAAGAGAAAACTGCAGATAAACAGGTACAACGTGTGTCAGAGGATTTGTCTCATCTCTGTATCACCTGAGGCCAGGCACTTCACTGCATATACTGTATGTAAGGGTTTACAACCACATTAAGGAACGAGAAATAAGCCACTGGTTTCTGGAACTGGTGATGGAGGTGACAAGGAACATGTAGATACCTTCTGAGTTAAGAAACCAGTATTATATATCAAGGGAGGGATTGAGAGAACAAAAAAGTTATATTTAATACTAACCAGCTGTGGATGATCTAGCACATGATCTGTTACATCTTCTGTAATCTCATCTGTAACAGGCAATTGACTTTGTTCTTGATGAAGTTCACTGAGTGACTGATTTAATAACTCATCCGTGACGTAGGTGATAGCACAGCCAAACAGAGCCTCCAAGAACTCAAGGAATGTAAGCTGGCAGGGAAAAAAACAGTTGCCAAAAATATTCATAAAAAACACCTTTAATATAAATAATATCCCCGCACTACTCCTAATAATATAAAATCTATATACAATTACAGAGCAGCTAACACCTTTGTGAAATCGCAAAAGTTTAAAAAATATACAAGTGTCTTCATACATACAACCCAAAAATTATATAAATAAAATATGCATATTCAACACTAATAAATTTCCTCTTTACCAAAAAAACAAATGTGTATATTTAGGTCTACTTATATAGAAGAGTCCAAACAGTCCAAACTAAATAATTGCAAATCACAGAAAAGTTGTGCAGAGTGTCAAACATGTCCTCCAGTGTCAAACCTCCATAATTTCCCAGTGTGCCAGTCTAATTCACCCAGGATTCTATCAGATGTGCCTTCACCTATTCTAGTGGCCCTCAGTGTCAATGGAAGGCCATACACCGTATTAAGACTCAGCCTCCACAGGTCTCCTTCTTATTGTGAGTTCACTCTCTAGTACTGCTCAGGGTCCCATGAATTCATAAGGAAGAATGAACATGATAGTGCTACCTTTAGGGATGCTCCATAGAGCCAGTCCAGTGGGATGCTCCACAGAGGAAATATGACATCACAGGAAGCTCCTGGCAGGGACTTTGTATGACATCATATCTGCTCTGAGGAGCGCATGTTTCCTGGCGCAGTGATGCTTTCTGATACAGGCAGTCTATATGAAAATTGATGTAAAAACATTGGCTTTTATTCTTTTTGTTCAATAAACGTTGCTTCACTATGCAAAGCTCTCTCCTCCCTCCTTGGCATTGATCGTTTAACCGCTTATGCGGTTCATGTGAAACAAAGCCAAAGCATATCCTTGGGTGCTATAAACGCTTGATTTAACTCACTTGACAAAACAAGGAGTTAACAGTGTCTGGTGAGTGTGGGAGATGTTGGGGAGCACCTGGAGTGCACCTAGGCAGAACGTTTGAGGACACCACAATTCCATTGGATACATTTTGACATAAGTCATGCATGTAGCACCCTCCTAGTGTAGGATGCTAGGTAAATTTAGTTTTTAGCTTCTTCTGTAATCAAAGGTGCAGTGATTGTTTGGTCCGGTCTGTTTAGAGTTTCACAGGCTAGGAGTTTGATTGCTTCCCCCTGCATCTAGAAGAAGCTTCTAGTGCTTAAGAGGGTAAAATTCTAATAGCTAACCAAAATATTGTTCAGGGCCTAGCCAATCCCTGGGGAGATGTGCCCAGATGGTGGCTTGGAAGCTACTAAATAGACTGGAGCCCTGGAGAAATTATATTTTCCCCAGCAATGAGAGTTCAAAGCCTCAGGGGGCTATTGCCCCTGAGGCAGGCTGTGGACTTTGTTGCTGTTCTGTGAGGTCTCAGCAGTGGCAGAGCTGGGACCTGGAAGTGATCTGGAACGGAATGTAGGACTTCACCAAAGGGAACTGGTCTAGAGAAGGAGTGACTCACTCACTGGATTGTGTCTGGTAAAAGCTGGCAGTTGTCCTTGGGACTTGTGAGTTATGATCCTGAATTGATTCCTGGTGACAGTGTGATTTTGGGATATACCTGTAAGTGCCAGCAGCTGCTTGGACTGAGACTGTTCTCATGGTGTCTCAAATACTGGCCATTCCCCTGCCCTCAGCAGTGTCCTGGACTGTGGGCTTACAGAAGAGTGCCCTTCTGTACTTTGACATGGTCCTGAGATTGCACTGGGTACCAATAGCTGTGTAGTGTTTGGCTCTGAAGAAGGGAGTCTGTCACCCGAAACATGTCAGCTATTCCAACTGGTAACCTGTTCCACAGGACCCCCATTGCCTGGGACTGATTTACTTTGGCTCCATTCTGTTTTTATGGTCCTTTTGTGAGTATGCACTTGTCACTTTTTTAAAATAAAGCATTTGATACCACAGTAAAGCACGAGGAGAGTGCGCTCTGTTGTGTTTTCTCTTGTTAGCTGTGTAGTGGTGCAGGGTAACCAGATCCCAAGGAGAGTTGCCTCATGGTCCCAAATTGTGAGGCCTTAGAATGTCCAGTGTTTTCAGTTGCTCAAGGAGAAGATTGTCCTCTTACTGCCAATTGCTAACCATTCTGGAGTATCCCATGTCCTAATCCCTCTCCTGTTAAAGGTTCTTCAGAAATAAATAAATCTTAAAAAGACAACCCCTAGATTGTCTATTTGAGTTGGAGTGAATAGACTGTTGCTTGGGTGGCTGGTGGCCTCTGTACTGTTTGGGGGAGAACCAGTTAAAAAAGACCTGTGTATGAAGTACTTAAAGGAAAACTATCATTAATAAAATAGGGGGCTGCTGAAGTTCTATTGAAAATGCTAGTTGTCTTACTGTAACTGATAACTTGCAACTGGCTTCAATACTTGACCTGAAATATGCATGTAACATCTGTAGTCTAAGTGAGGTCCGAATCTCTGATTTGGACACTTTTTCTCAAGTAATTCAGAAAATATTGAAGTCACTGAATTAACATGACAGCCAGGCAAGTAGTATCTTCTGAAGGAGAAATCAGAAAAGGTAGTCTCCATATGTTTCTTGGCCACAAAGTCAGATTTTGCTTTAAATCTGTCATATCAATACACTTTGTCAGCCACTATGTCATCTGAGGAAAAACCATAACCATACATATTGTATCCAGTCAGGTAGGCTCAAATGCTAGCCAAACACACATAAATTCCCTTGTTCAGCCCCCAACAATGAGCTTTTTTTCATCTGTTCATTCCAGTTCTGCATAAAGAAATGACAACCCCAATAATCTGTTGGGTTCTGAGTACTAATATATGGAGGTCTTACATGAGTTGAAGAATGTTAGCTTTTTATGTGCAAGCACTTGACATGCTGTTTTTTATCCATTTAGGTATAATACAAATATGTTTTAATACAAACCTTGTGCTGCCAGTGGTATCTCCAAAGCCAGATTTTCTAATCTGTAGATATATTTATGTATTTGAAGATGTGGCACCATCTCTTATACTATAAAGCTGATATGCATCTGATTGGATGCAATCATAGTTAGGCCAACAATTTTCCAATTTGCTCCTTTGATTTTTGAATCAAATTTTGCAGAGCCGCAGAGTGCCAATAGGGCCATCAACAGCTTGAATTTCAGCCTATTCAGCAGGAATTGAACAAAATGTTTGTGTGTATGGCTAGCATTATTCTATACATCTGTTCATACATTGAGGCAAGATCTGATAGTGTGCTCCGTGTATTAAGCTGACTGAACATGTTACAATCTGACTGTACAATTGTCTTTTGATCTTTAGACCTTCCTTAGATCTATCAACATCTATATAGAGCAGGAGCCCATCTGATTGGATGCAAATTCAGTGGATGGTATAGGAACACTCACATTACATACATTTGGTAAATCTAAAAGAAACTATACAGTGATTGTTCAATTTGACTGTAATGTGTGTGTCCAGCATTACATGGAAAAGGGACAATCAATTTATAGCTTACAGTATATTTACAAGATGAAAGAACAAGAAGAAAGTCTCACCTCTAGCTTAAGATTGATTTCATTGCCATCATGCACAGCGGGGTCGTCCTCAGCTAAGATTTCCACAATCTTTGTAACAGTAAGATCTTGGTTTAGGATTTTTAGGTCCTGTAGACATAGCATAAAATATTTCTCATTGTAGTCATTGGGGAGACACATATAGTGGTAATTTACTTGGCATTTACTACAATAGGATCATTGTCATATTAAAGTGGCCCAACTTCAAAAATCACCCTTAACATGAATCAGTACAGCATGATAGTACCAGGGGCGGACTGACCATTTGGAAACTCAGGCACTGCCCGAGGGCCGGGGGTCAGTAGGGGGCCCCATGAGATGCCCCTGGTACCTTTTTCATAGGCTTTTTTGAGTTTGGGCAAGGACACAGGGGCCCCATTATCACCTATTGCCCGGGGGCCCCATGAGTTGTCAGTCCGCCCCTGGTTAGTACTACCAAATAACATTATGTTTTTTATATAAAAGTCCCTCCTTTTCCCCTTAATAGAAATGATGTTCTGACACCATTATAGCCTAGCCTAATAACATTATCTCTGGCTAATTAGATGCATTCTGATCATTTGGCATAATTAGTTATTCAGGGCAGTCAATTCTTTTTCACAAAGTCTGACCTTATCAGTGACATGAGAATGTCAGTGGATAACAGACCAATGTGGTAATAAGCGCTTATGGCTGCCCCCTTCTATATACAGTATTCAATTACAATCTATACATTGAAATAAGGTTTTTAAATATGGACCCACTTTGATTAAATGACTAAACAGTGAAAGGAGAAGATGCGCACTGAAGCTCACTTCTCATATCAACATGATCCTTGCATAACCCAATCTGAGCTCTGCTGTACAGGAACTGAAGAGGCTGATACCAGATCACATTCAGGTACTTACTGAAAAATATATCCTACACTTACACTGCTTGCATTTAGCAATGTATATTTAGCAGTGTTTGAATCCAGGGCTGCATTAATTTGTGTCTTATACAGTATATACCTGGGGTTCCGTTTTATAAAGACAATACATCATAAAAAAAAAGGGTGTTAATCAGGGGCGGACTGACCATTTGGAAACTCGGGCAGTGCCCGAGGGCCCGGGGTCAGTAGGGGGGCCCCATGAGATGCCCCTGGTACCTTTTTCATAGGCTTTTTTGAGTTTGGGCAAGGACACAGGGGCCCCATCATCCCCTATTGCCCGGGGGCCCCATGAGTTGTCAGTCCGCCCCTGGTGTTAATTTAAAACCATGAGCTGTTCTTGCTGTAGGTCTTGGCCTCACAGCCTGGTATCTCCACCTCTTTACCCACTTTCTCTTTATCTCAACTGTGTTTTTCCTTCTATCTCTTCTTTTTGCTGAGCCTCAATATCATTTTTCTCCTGCTATGAGTAATTTAAAGACACCTTTTACATTTAGATGAAATCGTTGCATTTGAGGCAATCAACAATGCCCCCTAAAATGTTTCTTGAAGCACTTTGGCGTCTTTGAAGCACATGACTGAATATATTGAATTGTTTTACTGTGTAGGTGTACTTTCCTCTTTATATGATACTTGCTGACTTTGTCTTTTTGTATTGATGTGCCTTGAGACCTAATAAAATGTATCCTTTAAAAAAAAATAATGAGCTATTTAAATTGTTAACAATATTGTTGATTTTTTTATTTTGTTTTGGATAAAGTAGAGAAGTGTTAGAAACTCTGTAATGTCTTTATTGCATTCCTTGTTCCCATTACTTTTAGAACGAATGTCAACACACCGAATTGCAGACATATGATGTGTCCTGGTGCACATAAATCACAACAAAGGTTTACATTCACATAAGTATAAAGGGGAGCCTATAACACTGGTAAATACTATTAAAACTAAAGAGAGAGTTGATGCTCTAAAATTGTTCAGGGCAAAGTTATGGGTACCGTATTTCATATGCTAAAAAACACCTTGAAAACGTCATACTAATCATAATAATAATAATAATAAAAATATAGCTACATTCATCATCCAGATGAAACACCTCATGGTCATAGTGGGTTCATAAGGTGGGGATCTATTTTTCTGGCAGCAACTTTTGTAAACGTCCCAACACTTGTCAATGCAAGACATTGCATACTCAGTCTTCTGGGCTTCACAGAATAAAAACCCTGTAAATTACAAAAGAAGACACTCAGATTAAATGAATAAATTAAATTAAAGCTAAATTCCAGGAAAGTAACTAAATACATAATTGATTTGCCTGCATGGGATCAGTTTTACATGGCAAAGAATTTGTTACTATCCTGGGCACACCTGCTAGACAGTGCAGCCACAATGCTTAAAAAATCATGTTTCTTGAAACCTACATTGGTGAGAGAAATGCTTTTTTAAAGCAGGAGTTTTGCAACCTTTTCAAGTACAAGATGGCATAATCAGCTGGAAAATGTTACAACAGTTCACAAAGGATATACTACTATATTAAAATATATTATTATTATTATACAGTATTTATAAAGCGCCAATAGTTCGCTCAGCGCTGTACATTACAAAGGGGGACAGAACATGTGACAGAACAATACCAATACAATGCAAAACATGAGGGGATTGAGGGCCCTGCTCTTTCGAGCATATATATAATAGGAAAATGGTAATTTTTCACACAAATTTACGCTGTTCCTTCCTATTTTATATATACAAAGAAAAAATAATGCTGTTCCCTGAATTCTCAGCGTTATGTGTACACAAAAATGAATGCTGCTCTTCAAACTTCCCCGTTATATTATACAAAAAAATAATGCTGGTCTTCAAACTATAAATCAGCGCAATACCGCTCTCCTTCAAAAATACCCACAAAAAATATATAAAAATATAAAAACATAAATATATGCAAAAAAGCAACAGGATGGTATATATTGCTTTTCTGCATATATTTATGTTTTTATATTTTTATTTTTTTTTTGTGGGTATTTTTGAAGGAGAGCGGTATTGCGCTGATTCAAACCTGCAGGGTATATATATTTAGCTTTTTTGTTTATGTAGTAGAGTGTATATGTATAATTAAATTGGAAAACACCTGTTCTAGCCTGCGTGATTAAGGAGACTAGGAACGCAGTGATTGGCTGGGTGTTAACATTATGTAGATGAAGGGTGGTATTTATAAGAGCTGTCTGACGTTCCCATCTGTACCGCCCCTTGATGACGTCGGTGTGATGAAACCGGTTGGGCGTGGCCTGCTCGATGTGGACGTTAGAGAGCCTTGCTGTTCTGTGCTGTATGGGAGAGATCCGCGGTGAGCGTTAACTGTATCTCAACGTTTTATTGCGATTGAAGCTGGTGTCTGTTGGACACCTTGTTTGTGAGTTTCCTTATACCTTTTTTATTAAAGAGATAAATGAAAAAAACATATTGCACCATTATGTTCTCTTTTTTGTCCCTGAGTGTACTGCATGCTCTCATGGAGGTATGAGAAAGAGTGGAGAAGTTCATCATAAGAGCTTGGGCTGCAAAGTTGTTTGTCTGTGATTATTATTATCTGGAAGTATCTGAAACATCACCATATCTATTTGGACATCGGGTTCATTGCTTCCAGAGCACAAGTGCTGTTGCTGGTTTATAATCTGACCAGCCATTAGCTCTGGTGAGTTCATTTAATCTCCTTTGGTGGTGGATTTTTCACAATTGGTTCAAGTCACTGAAGATATATATATATTTTTTGGACACTAATTTATGTTTGGACACTATAAATGTTTCTGTTCTGTCCCCTGATTAAGTTCTGCAAAAAAGTTTACTATGATACTTACATTATATATATAATGCACTGACCTTTCACATTACATGAGTTAGGTGATATATTTTGTGCCATGATTTTGGAGAAGCAGTCCACAAGGGAAACCTTTTTCCCTCTGCAAGAAAAAACATATTATGCTTAGTAAAGTATTACAAGTGTTACTATTGACATGATTCTTAGAACTACTGTTATATTGTCAATAGGGTTAAACATGAGAAATGTTCAAGTATAATCACTCAAAATTATTGCAAGGGGGCAAGCACAACTGGTATTGGCAGCGATAAGGCTTCTTTTACACTGCTTCCCTGTAAAAATGCATTTTGACACATTTGCGGTGCGTTTTGCACCAGTGAAAAAAAGGACATGTGACTGCAAAAATGCACCAAAAATGCAAGGTGTGTTTTTGATGCATTTTTGCTACATTTCTTAATGCATTTTCCATTCATTTCAATGGGGAGGTGCATTTTTGGTGCATTTTTTACTGTCACCAAACATGCACCAAAAATGCAGCATGCAGGACTTTTAAAAAACAGCAGTCCCACAACTGACTAGTCTGAAGAGCTCCATAGGATTCAATGGTTAGGTGTTTTTCTTCTGCTTTTGGTAAGGCAAAAATGAAAGAAAAACTGATCAGTGTGAAAGGGCCCTAAGCCATCCTTGAAACAGGGGCACCCAAGAACAGTCCAAGTAGATTTGTCCTACATTTATTCAGCAAGGCATCAAACACAGTTTCAAGCCATGCAGTCTTTTGTGGTGCAAGTCCAAAGCATAAAACAAAACATCTCCTGTGAGCTACTAACTAAATAGCAGGGTGCCCCTAATGGGTTTCCCCTATTTAATGTTCAGCAACAGGCTCTCACAGCTGAAAGAGGGAGAGCCCCAAGTGTTAGCCAACTCACATATACAGTATACAGGCCTGAGCACAGTTGAAACTAATACCAAGGCCTGGCTACAAAGAAAGATGTTGACCTAGAATTGGAGGCTTGATCCCACACCCAGCTCTTCAAAGCCTCCAAGCTCCAGGAGCCAAAACAAAACCCTGGAGCTCCTAATCATGTGAAGGTGAGAAAAATAGGTGACACATATACACAGTCTACAGTCCTGACAGTCAGTGCCTCACATACCCACCCCCTCTGCTCAGACCTGTAGGATGGAACACATTTTGCTGAAATACAGTGGACACATGATAGTCCATCAGCTTTGTTGGGCAATTGTCCTACATTCTGCATAAAATTCAAAATCTTGCAGAGCAATGAACCAATCTTGTGACCATTGTGTTGTACCCTTTGTTCAGAGACATCCACTGTAGCGGAGAATGGCTTGTAATCAAATTGAACGGTCTTTGCCAAAAGTTAATACTTCATTGGTTCCAGTGCCCATGTTATGGCCACACACTCTTTCCACTATTGAATAGTTCCTCAATGCAGGGGTTAGTTTCCAGCTGAGGTATACTACTGGATGCTCTTCCCCAGTAATTTCCCTAAACAAGACTGCTCCCAGGCCAAAACAAAATGCCACAGGCATATGATTGTACAAGAAATTCTTGACTGACGTTGGTGGTGGGTAACACTGGAACCTTGCACAATTCTGCCTTCAGCTCTTGAAAAGCTCTCTCTGCTGCTTCATTTCATTTTACCTTGGCAGACTTTTGTCCCTTTTGTGGGTTCAGTAAGTGGAGTTGCTATAGTTGGCAAAAACCTCCAGAAGTTTCTTACAATCCCTAGAAGGTCTATAACCATTTTTATACACTGGTATGGATCAGATTTTAACTGTTTATATCTTTGATTCATTCTATTAGAGGTTTTGTGACCTCCAACAACAATGTTGAAGCACAGATAGTGGGCTTCTTCCGTGCTTATTTGTATAGGCTGTTGATCAGGCCATACAAATACAGTCTAGAACTGCCAGAAATTCTTTAGGCGGGAGTACCCAGGGGTGGACGGAGAACTCATAGGTCCCCTGGGCAATAAGAGATAATGGGACCCCCTGTGTCTCCACCTACACTCAAGCCAAAGCCACACCCACACAACACCCCACCTACATATTGCAGCTCAGCTGCATAGAAAGGGCATTAAAAATAATTAAAATAAAACGTTGTGGGGTCCCCTCTCCATTCATACCAAGCCCTTCGGGTATGGTATGGGTTTTTAAGGGGAACCCCCACGCCAAAATAAAAAAAATGGTGTGGGGTCCCCCCCCCCCCAAGATCCATACCAGACCCTTATCCGAGCATGCAGCCAGACAGGTCAGGAAAGGAGAGGATGAGCGAGTGCCCCCCCTCCTGAACCATACTAGGCCACATGCCCTCAACATGGGGGGGTGGGGGGTGCTTTGGGGGGGTTCCCCACCCCAAAGCACCTTGTCCCCATGTTGATGGGGACAAGGGCCTCTTCCCCACAACCCTGACCTGTGGTTGTGGGGGTCTGAGGTCAGGGGGCTTATCGGAATATGGAATCCCCCTTTAGCAAGGAAGCCCCCAGATCCCGCCCCCCATGTGAATGAACATGGGGTACATGGTACACATTCACAAAAAAATCCCCAGGGTTGTGGGGAAGAGAGGCCCTTGGCCCCCTCTGCCCCAAAGCACCCCCCATGTTGGGGGCATGTGGCCTGGTATGGTTCAGGAGGGGGGGGGGCGCTCGCTTGTGGGGGTCTGCGGTCAGGGGGCTTATCGGAATCTGGAATCCCCCTTAGCAAGGGAGCCCCCAGATCCCGCCCCCCATGTGAATGAACATGGGGTACATGGTACACATTCACAAAAAATCCCCAGGGTTGTGGGGAAGAGGCCCTTGGCCCCCTCTGCCCCAAAGCACCCCCCATGTTGGGGGCATGTGCCCTGGTATGGTTCAGGAGGGGGGGGGGCGCTCGCTTGCCCCCCCCCCTTTCCTGATGTGCCGGGCTGCATGCTTGGATAAGGGTCTGGTATGAATTTTAGGGGGGACCCCACGCCATTTTTTACATTTTGGTGTGGGGTTTCCCCTCAAAATCCATACCAGACCCAATGGGCTTGGTATGGATGGAGGGGGGACCCCACACCGTTTTTTCATTATTTTTTTTAATTGCCGGCAACTCTTTTTTTTTTTACATTGAGCTGTCAGAGGAGAATCCCACTGACAGCTGAAACATTAACGCATGGGTTTCACTACTAAAATACCACATGACTTGATAAAATAACTCATGCGGTATTTTAGTAGTGTTTTTGGTGAATTCAAACTTTTTTTTTATAAAATGCTATGCGGTAGCCTACTGCATACTCGGATGAGGTAAGATACCGCTTAGTGAATTGTGCCCAGTTAGCCTCTCACCGGGCTCCTTAATGACCCTGGGCCCTCGGGCAATGCCCAAATTCTCAGTCTGCCCCTAGGAGTACCAGTTTAAACTAAAAATGACAACATCATCTAGATAAGTATGCTGAAGCAGCTTATCTGTATGGGTCTTAAGAATGTGGACCATAATTCTTTGGTATAAGGCTGGGGCCACATGTGAGCCAAAAAGGGGGAGGACCATTACTGATACAGCCCATCTGGAGTTCCAAATGCTGTCTTTTTCTTTGCTTTGTGGCATAGCATAAGCATCAAATATGGATATTTCATTTACCGGTAGTTTCCTGAAGGAACTGTAGAAGCTCAGGCTGTCATCCAGCTCGAGGATGACTTGACTACTCACTGACAGATTACCCTATAACTAACTTTTTCTGCACCTCTTCTGTAACGGCTTTTAGTGCCCAAACAAGATTTATCTTTACTTTAACATGAGGCTCAGTCACAATGTCATGGTAAATTATGTTTGTTTAGCATAGAACATCTTCTATTTTTACAAAGAATACAAGGCATTTCCATGACAGTGATGTTATGATCTCCACTTTATCCAGTCAGAGAATACCTTTTATTCTTTAATAAAAATTTTTATTATTATTATTATTACTACGAGTTTATATAGCGCCAAAGGGTTTGCTCAGCGCTGTACAATAGGGGGGGACAATACATGGCACAGTACAACAAAGACAGACAGCGTACGAGGGGTAAGAGGGCCCTACTCTTACGAGCTTACAATCTAGGAAAAATTTGAGGTGTTCTATGAATGGTGACAATGCTGAGCAAGGGATCCCCTGTTGTCAGTGTGCAGTGGGGAGGTCGCTTGCAAAGACGCTGAGCAGGACCAGGAAGGTTGTGGCTTTTAAATTGTTGGCAGTAAATAATATTTTGTATGTATCAGGCCTTGTTAAATCTAAACTTACACTCGTTAGTACATCACAACTCTTTTAGGATCCATTTTTATCCAGGGTTCCCATATAGTATAACAGTCTGTCCTCAACCCAAACTGGCAACTTTTCAAATATTTTACAATTTATATATAACATGATTTACTTACGGATTCTCTTCACTAGTGATGTGAAAGGCCAGATAGACAATATATGTCAGGAATGTACGAAGCAGTATTGTAGCATAAGGGGAGTGGACCTCCTCAGGATCATCATTTCCTGCTAAATAAGTCACATCTAAAAAAATACATTTATATTGTAATATCACAAAGAATGTCGATAAAAAAAAAATCAGTAAAGCGGAACAGGCCATAGTAAGTAATCACATTTCAGTAATTAAAAGATAAGGGATTGTAGTAGCTGTGATTGAACAAGTAATACCAGTGTATCTTCTTTATGCACACTCAGAAATTATCAGGCCCAATCATTAAAACTACCAATAATGGCCAATCAGTGCTCTTAGAATTTTTTTTCAATAAATAGAACTGTTAAACCTGATTGGTTTCTGCTGACAATATAATGCTTTTTGTGCTAATTTTTTCCTCCAATTGCAATGAATCAGTATTAAACCTAAATGCAAACATATATTTTGCTGCTTACCAATTCTTAGATGTCATAGCTGTATTCATTTTCTTTTTTAGGCTTTTTTTCTTCTATTTTCAACTTGTGATCTGGCAAGTAAGCCTGTTATTTTTCAACAGAACAAGCTCTCGTTCAGATGTATCAGTTTACAGGGATGAGACAAACCATTTAACACTGGTGGAGTTGCTTTCAGCTTTGATTTATTCATGTAAAACCTTTATCCTAAAACTGTTTGCTGCAACTGATTATAAAGTATTGGCTGGAGTTTGGCTTCAATTTATTAGTGTAGTTAAATCTGCTAGTATATTTAACATTACTCTCCCCCACCAGACTGATATTGGTGCTGTTTGCTGTGCCACCTCTGTTCATTCATACACTTATTAGAATGGGGGCACTCTATAGGAGGTGTGTTACTGGCGAGCTCACCAGGTGAAAACAAAGAGGGAAAAAAAGCCTAAAAAAAAAAAACTAATGCAGCCACCACGTCTAATGTTTGGTAAGCTGCATTATATCACATTTTTTGTTTTGGTTTTAATATCGCTTTAACCTTGATACATTAATTTAATAATGCACCAAAGGACAAATGTATTATAATGACATTATCATAAAAAAAAGTAGTCCTACTCACCACCCAGCATGCGATCCATTTCACAAAGTGTAAGGTCATAATGGTGGAACTTGCAGTCTTTTAGAAATCTCCAAAACTGTAATTTTGTCATTAGGAAAGCGTTATCAAAGCAATTTTCATTCCCCAGACTGCTGTAATACTTGTATGTCTTCTTCAGCACTGTAAGGTTCCGCAGGATACCATATTCCACCTATACATAGCCCAGAGCAGAATTATTCCAAATGTTCGTAAAGTGATACTAAAGGTTCATATATTTTTTTTTAATAACAAGTATGTCATACTCCTCTTCTCGGGTCCCCCGCTTGCACTCCTGGTTCCTCCCCCCTGCTGAATGCCCCCAAAGCAAGTTGCTCGCTCCCGAGCTACCTCTATGTGTCTATAAGGGCGTGGATCAGCCCTGCCCCCGCTCCCTCCTCACTGGCTGTGATAACCAGGGCATTTTTAATGCTCCTCAAACGCCTTTGAAAATGATACACATGGCAGCACATAGTGCTGTTTACACTGAAGCGTTGCGCCAAAATTGACGCTTCATGTCAAGTCAGGAGGAGCTGAAGCCTTTCAATGCCTCCCATTCAAGTCTATGGTGACGCTCCTCCTTGGGAGGCGTTTGTGGGCATTAATACCATTAAGTTCATTATAGGCATGTGTGGTGCAGTTTTAACGCTAGTAAAACCTCTTTAAAATGCCTCAAAACCACGCATAGGGTGTTTGGGGAGCGTTTTTAACGCTTGTAAAATGCATGTCTAGCGCCTGTCTAATGTTATAGGGGCATATGGGAAGACATCAAGTGTGAACAAGCCCTGTGGCATAAATCATGTATACTTTCTGTATCTTTCTAGTTGTTTTCCATCTCTAAGCTACTATTTAGTATGAAAACAAAAAATATTTTTTTTAATACATGCCATAGCAGCACAGCAGTCCCAAGCTATATGTTATATGAGGACTAAGCTACTGAACACACAAAAGGAAGATCTAATAGGACTGGTCCTATTGTATTAAAGGAGCAGAGTTAACCCATAGGTATGCAGCTATTGAAATAAATCAAGAAAGGAAAGTTTGTATGAAATAATTTAGCAATTTCTACAGAGGTACTACAAAACCAAATACAGAAACAAGATTGTTTACTCGCAGAAAGAAGTGTACATGTTTTAATCTATAATGGAATCAAGGCATTTCTAGCACAAAGTGCCTAGTGTAGTCTGTGTTTAAAAGAAAACATCAACAGTTTAACATTTTAAATTTTAAAGAATTACTTTAGAGAGCTTTGGCTATAAAAAACAGTATAATACAGCTATATTATAAAAATTAGTGTAGCGCTTCTAAATACAAACACTTAATTTAAACATGTAATAATGTGTCAAAAAACAAAGTGCCTCAGTCACCTATGTGACTAGTGAAAGTGATGACAAAAAAATGAACATATATTTTCGTGATAAATAAATTTTGTGCAAAGGTCACCTAAGTGACCTATACAAGTGACATATACAAAAAAAAAAAATGATAAGGACCCTTGTAAATGGGAATACAAACAAACAACGTGATAGTGCCACTTCAAATCACATTTTAAAAAAACTCTGAACACTCTGATAGTCCATAAATATATTGATAGGTGTTTCCTATAAACATGCATTGTGCAAAATAGTGTTTAATCCGTGAAAGTGTCAGCACACATCTTCCCACTCCTCATCTCCTTTCTATGACCCCAAAGGGCCAGAAAGCCTTCAGGATCACCTTGGATCCTTCTCAATACCGACTAATATCACTCCTCTTCCAGTATCTCTCCAATACAACCTCCAGGTCCCTCTGATTAGGTACTCTGCAGAATATGTGTCTCACCACACCAGTGAGCAATAAAAGAGATCCTCCATAGTGTAGTATTTCAATGAGCAAACAGTCCTTTATTCAGATTAGCAAATAAACTCACATTTATTGCAGTCCCCTTCCTCTCCTGATGTGTGGGTATACTGCATCCCCACACACAGTGTTTGTATGTAGAAGCGCTACACTAATTTTTATAATATTAATACACTGGTTTGGTATCAGCTTAGAGTGTTAGCAGCTACTTATTAGGGTTTACTTCCTTTATTAGCGCAGGAGGATTTTGTTGCCTTTAAATCTCGTGTAGTATAATGCAGCTAGTGTTCAGGCAAGACAGGTACTTCCCTTATAAAAAAAAAAAACTAAACATAGACTGTCAACATGAAAAACAAAGGGAGCTGAAATCCTCGAGTGGATTCTGAGCAACTAGTCAGGAACTTTTGAATTATTTTATACAACAGTTAGCAACCAAATATTTTGGGGGGCTTGCAACATCCCCAAGCCTCCATCATTACAGAAGAACACATTATGAATGTTTCATAGGTAATAATCTACCTGCTTCAACTCCTCTAATCGCTCATTCTCTGGAAATGTATTCAATAACGATGTTATATCAAGCTCGATGTAGGAACCTGCTAAACTTGGTATTCCTGAATTAGTTGGGAAGGTGTTCAATGTACCTGTCAAATGATTATAAATAATACACTTAAAAAAGTTTCACCAAACATAACATCTCTAAATATCCATGTCTAAGTATTTTATTTATGAGAAACTGTGAAGCATTCCCTGTAAAGTTACCTATTGTGTCAAATTCCTGTCCTTTCTAAGGTGCATAGACACCTGTAGGCAGTGGTGTATTTTTGTAGTGTGCCACCCTAGGCAAAAGTGTGGTTTGCCTTGCGGTAAATATGCACCTGCCTGTAGGTCATAAGAAATAGTTCTTGGCAGCATATTAAGACTGTCTAGACTGCCTTATTTGCCATCACTTTTTAGTGTATTATAAAAAGATGAAGTGCTCAATTACAGAGATCAATGCGGTTGTCTTTTTTTTTGTCTTTTTTTTTTTTATGGTTCAACCAGATGGACTTTTGTCTTTTTTCAGCCAGACTAACTATGTAACTATGTCTGAGAGTGTCATGACAAGGATCAAACTCCACCTGCTGCCAAAATGATGTGTAGATTTATAGACAAGAATAACAATTCTTTTAAATAAACAGTGCAGCGCTAATAAATAATAAATGTATAAGTATCCAGTGAATAAGTGATAAAATACATAAACTCAATATATACCCCCTAAGATTATATATCCAAAATAATCAATAATTATATGATAGTGTCATGCGTGTAATCCCTCATAGGGAATATATAGTGCAAAAGGTGACAAATATACTCATTAAACAATATAGTGGCAAACAACGTAAAGTGCTCAAGATAAGTGAACCAATATTCAATTACAAAAAAAGTCCAATATAGTGGCAAAAAATGTACTGATGAAGTCACGTGCTGAGCGTGACGCAACGCGTCGGTACGTTGGGAGGAGCTTCTGTTAACGCGGTGACGTCATTTCCGGCGTGGGGGCCATATTGGATCACCCTGTTGTATTACCCATGCAGTACACCCATAGCATGCGGTAGGAAGCTGGATGAAATCGTTACTTATGTGAGTGGAACTCTATTTTTATCTGTCTATCGCATAATAAAACTAGTTGCACTATGGAGGGTCTCTGTTTGTGTTTCATTATGACCCTGGGAGGAGCTGGCTGCTGCTAGTCTGGTGGATGCTGGAGGTGGAATGCGAAACCCAGAGAGAAATCCATTCTGATAAGATCGTTTGATCCTTAAAGCGTGCTGGCCCTGTGGGGTCTAAGTAAGGAGGTGAGGGGGCATTTTGGCCCTTAAAGGATTGGCACGTGTGAATCACGCACACTGCACATTACTTTTGCATGAAGAGTGGAGTGGGAAGACCACCACAAAGCATTGCATTTTTTATCAATTGTTTGGCATTTTTTATCAATTGTTTGGACTTTTTTTGCAATTGAATATTGGTTCACTTATTTTGAGCACTGTACGTTGTTTGCCACTATATTGTTTTATGAGTATATTTGTCACCTTTTGCACTATATATTCCCTATGAGGGATTACACGCATGACACTATCATATAATTATTGATTATTTTTGTATATATAATCTTAGGGGGTATACTGTATATTGAGTTTATGTATTTTATCACTTATTCACTGGATACTTATACATTTATTATTTATTAGCGCTGCACTGTTTATTTAATTGATCATTCACTGACTTTGGGTATAAGTTTAGTGGCAGCAGCTTTCTCTAAGGTTAGGATTCCATATAAGCGCAATTCTTACTTAAATACTATGAGAAATAGAGTACTATGTAGCTGTATGATTTTGTTTTAATACTGCTCACCTGCTCCACCTGGACTCTGGGTACGGATTCCACTCAGATCAGGAGTGTTCACTCTATCGTATTTGAAATTTGGATATTCAGATATTTGATCATTTACAAACTCACCAACATAGATCCTCCCATTCTTAAAAACAAACTTGCCCTGAAAATCACAAGGCAACATTATAAATAATTCAGTGTTACAAATCAGTGTGTATCGAGAGCAAATGCACAGAACAATTTACAAGCAACTTACATGTAAACACCGTTTCTTTCAGAGAGTAGAGAAAAACTTTGCAAAGAAACGTGAAGTACAAAAATAAACATTTAAACATACCTTTACTTTAAAAAAAAAAAAAAAAACACAATACAATCTGGAAACTTTTCCATTGATATGTCAATGGCTATGATTTTAGGATGATTTTGCATGTTTTGACAGGCTTGAAAATGTTCTATACTACAATACAACCCTCCTACTTTTCAGTTTTAGTAAATGCCAGCACCAGGTATTCCCCAATGACCTTATACTACCTTCAAAAAGTCAAGTACAAATGTGCTCATCCCATGTCCCTCAACCTGTCATGTCTATTATAAGTAAGTGTTTATTACTATTATAAGTAATGTCAGTTTCTCTGCCCACTTTTGAATCTATTTTACAAAGGGATACCTACTTAAATGTTAACAGTTGTCATAGCAAAATCTTTGCATTTCCTTTTATCTAAAACAAATATTTTTGTGTCTTCTTTTTGAGCAGGGGTTCTTAACCATTTTACAACTACAGATCCCCAAAAGATTGCCCACACCAATTTCACCGGACTTTTGAAATCATTATCCGAGGTAGCAGTATGACTTGAAAAAGTGTCGATGGCTTGGTTAGCTTAGTTTTACTTTCCATATTGATAGCTAGGAGCAGAACAGCTGAAATAAAATCGTACAGGATTTATCATATTTAGTGAAGGAATTGAAGTTCAAATGCTGACACAATTGACATCTGATATCAACTCTATTTTTATTTCAAGTTCAATAATGCAGACAGACAATCTTGTTTTAATTATTTTTTTATTATTCAGAGATCCAATCCCATATCCCCATCATTTCCATACTCCTAAATGGAATGGGACATTGATAAGAACCTCTATTCTAGAATATTAAAAATAAAGAGTTATGCATGATCGCTTGATTCACATTTAATGTCACCTGTTTCATGCTGGTGCAGTATACAGCAGAAAGCTGAGAGTGCCCTGTCATGGCTGCAGTTATGACAATTTGATATCATCTTGCTTGATCCCTGGAAATAATAAGTAAGCAGAAGATTTAGCAATGCCCCAGCCCTCTCAAACAGGGCCGCTTGTTATGGGTTGAATTGTAGGGACCTTACTTTGCTTTTATTCCCCCAGCTTGTGGGTCAGCAACTCCTGGCTCACTTGTTTTTTGGTCATGTGTACTATATTAAGCTCTTAAAATTTAAAATGTGCAATATACAATAAATATGCAAAATGAGTTACATGCATAATTGCTTCTAAAGGACAAACACATCTCACTGTCCATGATAACTAGATTCTCACTTACATTCTCCTAGAATGCAGCGGAATAACAAAACAGAAAATCTGATCGGTGCTTGGACAAAAAGAAAGGTTATGTCTTCAAACACTTTTATGCAAGTGTTTAATTTTTAGGACATCTGATGACATCACTTACCATGCCATGCTTATTATTGTTTTGCCATTCCCCATCATACATTGCACCATTGGCATAGAAATATTGGCCATGTCCTTGACGTTGCCCATTGACAAAGTTCCCGACATATTCATTTCTCAAGGAGTACTGTGATCCAGGCACTCTCTTTAAGAACCAGGTGTGGGTCCCATGACCATTCTGTATTAAAAGGTAAAAACTTGAGAAACTTGAGCAACTGGCAAATACATCCTTCATTTCTTCTCTTTTATGCTAAAGAAGATCACCACCCAAATGTGCCTAAATGTGCCCAATGATGATCTGTGTATGGGCACATTACCCATCAATATGAAGAAGCCATCTTAAAGTGAACCTGTCAGGATAAAAATAAAAAAGTTGCTACTGCAGATTTGGTATTTAAAGGAGCATTTCTAAAGTGGCTTTACTTCTTAGTTTGCCACTGATCTGGAAAAGTAGGCAAATATGTATTGATACATTTTAGACTTTATTGGCTCTCAGTCAATGACTCAGCAGGCAGTGAAGCTAGGATCAGGACTGCAGCCACTTCACCTTTAGAAACCAAATTGACAGTGGCAGGTCCCATTACGAGTTGTGTAACATAGGACAATTCAACACAACAGATGAAGAGAGCAGATGGGGCAGAACAACTCAAGATTTAAAATTTGCTGTTCCCAAGGTTTCAGAAAACAATAAATGAGTTCTGGTGTGGCATTTAGCTGTATCTACAAAAAAATGCAACTTGGTTTTGAAATGTGTTTTTTGTTTGAAAACAACAATTTTGATTATATTGGTAACTCTCGCTTGGCTAGTAGTACCGATGTGTCTTTGAGAAACCCTGATTTTATCTAAAATTACAATTATGAGGGATGAAACTGAATATTTTTTATATATGTTATTACCTGTATGCCATTCTCCCACTGGCCTATGTATTCTTCATTGGAGATAATCCACCTCATCCTCCCCACTCCATGTAACTTGTTACTCTTCCACTGGCCTTCATAGAGGTTTCCTGACTTAAAACTGTCAAATTTGATCACATTTTTACAAATGTTTAAGATAACAGATACACAGTATTTAAAGAAGAACGCCCAGAAAAAAATAAGCATTTAAAATCCGCTGGCATACAAAGAGTTAAGCACAAGGAGGTGTAAGCCACCTCCTGGATCTCTCTACTATGTTTACAAATTACTGGCTCACTCAGCACCCCTAGTGTAGCTTTCACTATACTTCTCCGAGAGGACAGAACATAGCAGCTGCTCTGCCTGCCCCTCCTCTTCCCTGCCCATTCACAGAATGTTTTGATTTTGGTGAATGAATGCAAAGTGTTTGACCAAGGGGAGAGGAGGGGCAAGAAAGGCAGTTGCAAACAATGCTATGGCTGCTGTGTAAAAATCCCCTAGCTGGGGTGTCGGAGTGTTGGAAGTACTATTGCTACTCAGTGAAACACTAAATTGCAAAAAGCTGAGAGAGCTCCAGGAGGTAGCATACACCTTGTTGCACTTAACTTCTTTTGTGCCAGCGGATTTTAAAAATGTATTTTTCTTCCTGGAGTTCTTCTTCAATTACACCAAAGCACAACAAGCTATGTATAGACATTAGATCACATTTTTACAAAATATTGTTGCATAAAAATACATTATCATTAGAGATGTGCACAACGAAACAGATTTGTTTAGTTTCGTTCATTAAGTTAATAATTTTGTTTGTCATATTGGTTATGTTAGTTAGAATGATTCGTTTTCAGAATTTGTTTCGTGTATTCGGATTCGTTCCAAATATTAATTATTTTCATTACCATTGTGATTCGGAAATTTGGATACAGCAGAATTTTCCGAATAAAGAAAATTTTGTCCAAATTTTGATTTGTAACAAAATGAATTGCACATGTCTAAACATTAGAGTGCCAAAGCATCACATTTACACAGACACAATGAAGTGATATATATTTGGTGAGAAAATCATAGACTTTGCCAAAAAACATTTGGACAACTGTTCACTCTGAAAATGATTTCTGGGGTTAGTAACTCTAGATATAATGATCATCACCCAGTCTGGTCAAACTTGGCCTAGCTGTGAAATTATCAGCTTATACGTAAGGATACCAACTGTAGTTCCAAATGGACTGTGCCACAATCAGCCTCTGGGCATTACAGACCACAAAAATGGCCCTGTGTTTGTTTGTGGTAACATCCATAGATCAAGATCAGACCTATTTATGCTTATTTATGTTAATTTAGATGGAAAAAGGACTCTTCCTAACCAGCTCACCTGTTATTAATATATTATTATTACACAGCATTTATATAGCGCCAACAGTTTGCTCAGCGCTGTACATTACAATGGGAGACAATACATGAGACAGTACAGTAAAAATACAATAAAATACACGAGGTGTTCGAGGGCCCTGCTTCTTGGAGCTTACAGTCTAGGAGGGAGGGGAGAGTGGTACAGGAGGAAATAGCTGTGGGGGATGGAGTGGTGGGGAGAGCGGAGGAGATCAGCAGTTAGGTGAGGGCGGGGTAGGCTTTTCTGAAGAGATGGGTTTTCAGGGTGCGCCTGAAAGTGAGGAGGGTAGGTGACAGTCTGATGGATTGGGGTAGTGAGTTCCAGAGGATGGGGGAAGCTCTGGAGAAGTCCTGGAGACGGGCATGGGAGGAGGAGACCAGGGAGCTGGAGAGTAGGAGGTCTTGTGAGGAGCGGAGAGTGAGTTTTGGTGGTAGATGGATATCAGGTCGGTGATGTAGTTTGAGGCAGGTGGAGTCTGCATGAAGTTGTCAGCGATTGGATCTGGGGCTGGAAAGACAGATTGGAGTCTAGAATGACACCTAGTACTCTGGCTTGCGGGGTGGGGCTGATGGTGGCATTGTTGGTCGTGATGGAGAGGTCGGGGGGGGGGGGTGGTCTGGGGGAAAACTAGGAGCTCGGTTTTGGCAAGGTTTAATTTGAGGAAGAGAAGTGACATCCAGTCTGATATGTCGTTCAGAAGGCTAGTGGTTCGGGCAGAGACTGAAGGGGTGAGGCGAGGGGTAAAGTGATAGATTTGAGTGTCATCAGCACAGAGATGGTAGTTGAAGCTGTGGGAGTGTATCAGTTGACCAAGGGAGGAGGTGTAGACGGAGAAAAGAAGGGGCCCGAGGACAGAACTTTGGAGGACCCCAACAGAGAGGGGGGAGTGAGGGGGAGGTGGCAGCGTTATAGGTAACGCTGAAGGAGCGCTGTGATAGATAGGAAGAGAACAAGGAGAGAGCGGAGTCTCTGAGGCCAAAGGAGTATAGTCTAAAAGGAGGAGGGGGTGGTCAACCATGTGGAAAGCCGCAGAGAGGTCGGGGAGTAGCAGCACTGAGTAGTGGCCATTGGCTTTGGCGGTTAGCAGGTCATTGGTGAGTTTGAGTAGGGCGGTTTCAGTGTAGTGTAGGGGACGGAAGCCATGTTGTAGGGGATCAAGGAGGTTGTTATCGGTGAGGTGGGAGCTTAGGCGATTATAGGCTAAGCGCTCAAGGAGTTTGGCAGCAGAGAGATGGGTCTAAGGTTTTTTGGGTCGGTGGGATCCAGGGAGGGTTTTTTAAGTATGGGAGTGATGTGCGTGTGCTTCAGAGGGGAGGGGAATGTGCCAGTAGCGAGGGAGAGATTAAAGATGTGAGCGAGGGAGCATAGGATGGAGGAGGAGGGTGATCGTAGGAGCTGTGTGGGGACACAGTCAAGGGGCAGGTGGTAAGGCGAGCTTCAGAGAAGACCTTAGTGACCTCTTCGGTGGTAACGGGTCGAAGGAGTGGAGTGTTGAGGGGGTTTTAGCGTGAGGAATGTTGTGCGGGGTGGAGGTCTGGACAGTGGCGAGGTCGAGGGAGAGGAGTGTTGAGGGGGTTTTCGTGTGAGGGATGCTAGGTGGGGCGGAAGTCTGAGCAGTGGTGATGTCCCTGCGAATTGCTTTGATTTTTCTTTGGAAGTGGTTAGCAATCTCGTGGGTGGTGAGTGAGGTACTGGGTGGAGATGGGGGCGGAGAGAGCAGGGAGTTGAAGGTGGAAAAGAGCCGGCGAGGGCTGGAGGAGAGGGTACTGATGAGGGTTACAAAGTAGGCTTGGTTGGCAGCATGGAGGGAGGAAGTGTAGGTGAGGAAGGCGGATTTATATCGGGTGAACGCTTGCTGGGATCTGGTTTTGCGCCATAGTTGCTCTAGCGCGTGACTGCGTCGCTTGAGGTTTTTGGTATGGTCATTCTGCCAGGGTTGAAGCGGTCGGGGCCTAATGTTTCGTGTGGTTAGGGGTGCTAAGGAGTCAAGAGCGGCTGACAGCGTGTTGTTATAAACAGTAGTGGCCAGGTCAGGGCAAGACAGGGAAGGATACTGTCGTAAAGTTGGTCAGCTGCAGAGTGGAAGGGGGCAGGGTTCAGGTTGCGGAGGTTTCGGCTGGTGATGGTTTGACGCTTGGGGGGGGTAGGTGTAAGAGGACGAGGATACGGAGAAGGTGATGAGGTTGTGGTCAGAGAGGGGGAAAGGGGTGTTTGTGAGGTTGTGGGGGGTGCAGAGATGAGAGAAAACAAGGTCCAGGGTGTTCCCCGTCAGAGTGGGTGGAGGACTGTATGCACTGTGCGAGTGCAAAAGAGGAGGTTAGGTGGAGTAGTTGGGATGTGGCCGGGCTATTGATGTTGGTAGGGATGTTGAAGTCTCGAAGGATGATGGTGGGCAGCTCGGAGGAGAGAAAGAAGGGTAACCGGGCAGAGAAGTCGTCGAGGAAGCGGGATAACGGGTCCAGGGGGACGATAGATTACTGCGATCCTCAGGGGGATTGGAAAGAATAGTTGGATGCAGTAAAGGGAGCCTCAAAGGAGGAGAAGGATAGAGAGGGAGGGTTTGGGAGGACTTGGAAGGTGCTCTGCGGTGACAGGAGCATACCAACCCCACCACCTTTCTGACCGCTGGGTCTGGGTGAGTGGGTCCAGGTGAGACCTCCATAGGAGAGTGCTGCAGGGGAGGTAGAGTCGGTGGTTTGGATCCAGGTTTCGGTGATCGCCAGGAGGTTGAAGGAGCAGGAAACAAAGAGGTTGTGGATGTTTGTTGCAAACCGAATGGGCGTTCAGGAGTGCACACGAAAACAGAGGGGTGGTTTTCGGGAGCAGGGGGACCGGTATTAGGTTGAGGGGGTTGCGGCAGTTCATGGAAGTAGGTGGGTGCCTTGTGGGTGAGTGAGGTGGAGGAGGACCGGGGTTCGGGGAGATGTCCACAGCGGTTAGGAGGAGGAGAAGGGTAAGAAGGGTGAGCAGGATGTGCAAATAGTTAATAGTTTACTTCTTTTTGACATCTATAGATATATACATATACACATTTACATATACATATATATACATATACAGTATAAAGAGAACACAAAAAAGAGAAAACCTACAAACTACAAACTCTAAAGACATTCCAAGACATATTAAACTGTTCAAACATTTATACATTTTCCCTTATTCCTGCAAAGGTTGCAAAGCCTGAGGGTCTTTTCACATGGGGCGGACCCATTTAGAGGATACGCATGCTCAACGGGGGATCTCACCACTGATCCCCGCTGAGCAAGCGGATGACAGGTCTGCTCAATGGGCGGTCAGATGAAAACGGACCGCCTGTTCATTTTCATCTGACCCGATCCGATGGACAGAAGGGGAATTGGATCCTCATTCGTCCCTTTTTTGTAGATTAGATCTAATTGGACATCGGCGGGTGTAAACGGACACGTCAGTTTACACCTGCTCCATAGAGGAGAATGGAGGTTCCGATCGGGTCCACCTGAAAACTGGGCAGGAGGACCCAATCGGAACTTCCATCTGAAAGGCCTATGAGTCCTTTTCGTTCTAGTTTTTTTTTCATCAGTTCAGTCATGTTTTTTCCAAGAATAAATAGATCAGTTTCACATCAGTTTTTTTTCATCAGTTCACATCTGCTTTGCATCAGTTCACATCAGTTTACATACATTTTTCATCC